GCAATGCATAAGTAGCCAAGTGTATCGATAGCCCTGCGTTTTTATTATTATTAGCAGCTCGTAGTGTATATTTTAATATTGAGGAGTAGGCTATTTCACTTTCTCTGGTCATAGGAACAACATGAATTTGTGCCTGAGGCAGATGCGATGCGACTTGAGTTTTGCCATCAGGTGGAAGACTGTGTCCCCGCTCTCTGGTCAGTTTCACCGGAGGAAAGGAAGGAGAGAGCAGGGACTGTAAGAGGTGGACCCTCTGCTTCTCTCTCTCTCCCTCCGCTGAGACTAATGCCATTGTTCAAAACAACTGGGAACTCTGAAATCTCCGAGGTCAAATCATGACATCATTGAACTGATCTATTTTGTTATCAAAGCACGAGTTTTGAAATATAATATGGTCTGACAAGAACAATATTGGCAGGCCAGGCATATAGCCAATATGCTGTGATAATGTATTAGGCCTACTGCACAAACCTCATTCCTACAGAACTGTTTTTATTATGTTCATGTAGAAAAATTTAAGTGATGCTTTTTTTTTATCGGAGCAGTAGGTCTCGACTTGCTTTTTGACTGCGAAGGTGATTTTGACTCAGAAAAGGTTGGTGACCACTGACATACAGGTTTTGGAGAGGTGCGGGGGGCTGTTGTTGTGGGGGGTTACGTGCCTTGCTCAAGGGCACAAAGGTAGGCAATGGCATCTAGGATTTGATACAACAAACCCTCCGGTTGCCAGCTCACCTCCTGCCAGATTTTTCCTGTCGGACCCGAAATTGGAAATGGCAACCCTCCGGTTGCTGGCTCGCCTCTCTAACCGCTAGGCTACCTGCCACCCAGGAGAGCTCAGTAACGTGCCAACTGAGCTCCTCAATGTGCTCCTGTTATAATGCATCTGTACAGTAGCTCAGCACCTACAGGCCCCAGTACATCAAAAGCCTCACCTAGCCCCCCTCTTACTGCTCTCAGTCCTGGCCATGTCTGGGCCTCAGCCCCCCACATCCATCCCCTTCTACCCCACACGGTAAACGTTTCCCCTCCTTCCCTGCTCTTTCAGCTCCTTATGTCTCCATGTGTTTCTCAACTCCCTCCATCCACATCTCTCCATGTCTGCAGGTGTGTATCTACAGTCTCTAGGTGTCTCATTAGTTAGATTCAACTCTCTGCTCATCCTACAGCTCTATTAAGAGTACTCATTTTAGACCACAGTCCTCGGGGCATGGGAGATAATTCTGTACATGAGCAACACCAGGGAGACTTGATGACAAGATTTAACGCAGACATCATACACTTGACAACCACAGACCCTGGGTGAAAGTATGCTGGTTTATGTGGACCAGTGTTGTTTTCTGTGTGTGTGTGTGTCTAATCAAATTGTATTTGTCACATGCTTTGTAAACAACAGGTGTAGAAAACAGTGAAATGCTTACTTTTGGACCCTTCCCAACAATGCAGAGAGAAAAAAAGATAAATAATAGAAAAATTTAAACACGAGGAACAAATACAGAATAAGTAACGATAACTTAGCTATATACAATACATTCTGAATGTATTCAGAGCCCTTCACTTTTTCCACATTTTGTTACGTTACAAGTTTCTACCATTCTTCTCTGCAGATCCTCTCAAGCTCTGTCAGGTTGAATGGGGAGAGTCGCTGCACAGCTTTTTTCAGGTCTCTCCAGAGATGTTTGATCGGGTTCAAGTCCGGGCTCTGGCTGGGCCACTCAAGGACATTCAGAGACTTGTCCCGAAGCCACTCCTGCGTTGTCTTGGCTGTGTGCTTAGGGTCGTTGTCCTGTTGGAAGGTGAACCTTCACCCCAGTCTGAGGTCCTGAGCGCTCTGGAGCAGGTTTTCATCAACGATCTCTCTGTACTTTCCTCCGTTCATCTTTCCCTCGATCCTGACTAATCTCCCAGTCTCTTCTGCTGAAAAACATCCCCACAGCATGATGCTGCCACTACCATGCTTCACCGTAGGGATGGTATTGGCCAGGTGATGAGCGGTGCCAGGTTTCCTCCAGATGTGACGCTTGGCATTCAGGCCAAATAGTTAAATCTTGGTTTCATCAGACCAGAATATCTTGTTTCTCATGGTCTGAGAGTCCTTGAAGTGCATTTTGGCAAACTCCAAGCGGGCTGTCATGTGCATTTTACTGAGGAGCTTCGGTCTGGCCACTCTACCATAAAGGCCTGATTGGGCACACAGTGCCCAATCAGTGCTGCAGAGATGGTTGTCCTTCTAGAAGGTTCTTCCATCTCTACAGAGGAACTCTGGAGCTCTGTTAAAGTTACCATTGGGTTCTTGGTCACCTCCCTGACCAAGGTCCTTCTTCCCTGATTGCTCAGTTTGGTTGGGCGGCCATCTCTAGGAAGAGTCTTGGTGGTTCCACACTTCTTCCATTTAAGAATGATGGAGGCCACTGTGTTCTTGGGGACCTTCAATGCTGCAGAAATTTTTTGGTACCCTTCCCCAGATCTGTGCCTCGACACAATCCTGTCTTGGAGCTCTACGGACAATTCCTTCGACCTCATGGCTTGGTTTTTGCTCTGACATGAACTATCAACTGTGGGACCTTTATATAGACAGGTGTGTGCCTTTCCAAATCATGTCCAATCAATTGAATTTACCACAGGTGGACTTCAATCAAGTTGTAGAAACATCTCAAGGATGATCAATGGAAACAGGATGCACCTGAGCTCAATTTCGAGTCTCATAGCAAAGTGTCTGAATACTTATGTAAGTAAGGTATCTGTTTAAATTTTTTAATAAATTTGCAAACATTACTAAAAACCTGTTTTTGCTTTGTCATTATGGGGTATTGTGTGTAGTAAAAAATATATATATCAATTTTAGAATAAGGCTGTAACATAACAAAATGTGGAAAAAGTCAAGGGTTCTGAATACTTTCCGAATGCACTGTACACGGGGTACCAGTACCGAGTCGATGTGCAGGTGTACGAGGTAATTGAGGTAGATACACAACTTGACCAAAAGTATGTGGACACCTGCTCGTCGAACATCTAATTCCAAAATCATGGGCATTAATATGGAGTTGGTCCCCCCTTTGCTGCTATAACAGCTTCCACTCTTCTGGGAAGGCTTTCCACTAGATGTTGGAACATTGCTGCGGGGACTTGCTTCCATTCAGCCAAAAGAGCATTAGTGAGGCACTGATGTTGGGCGATTAGGCCTGGCTCGCAGTCGGCGTTCCAATTCATCCCAAAAATGTTCGATGGGATTGAGGTCAGGGCTCTGTGCAGGCCAGTCAAGTTCTTCCACACTGATCTCGACAAACCATTTCTGTATGGATCTCGCTTTGTGCACGGGGGCATTGTCATGCTGAAACCGGAAAGGGCCTTCCCCAAATGGTTGCCACAAAGTCGGAAGCACAGTATCATCTAGAATGTAATTGTATGCTGTAGCATTAAGATTTCCCTTCACTGGAACTAATAGGCCTAGCCCGAACCATAAAGAACAGCCCCAGACCATTATTCCTCCTCCACCAAACATTAGAGTTGGCACTATGCATTGGGGCATGTAGCGTTCTCCTGGCATCCGCCAAACCCAGATTAATCCGTCGGTCTACCAGATGGTGAAGCGTGATTTGTCACTCCAGAGAACGTGTTTCCACTGCTCCAGAGTCAAATGGCGGCGAGCTTTACACCACTCCAGCCGACGCTTGGCATTGCGCAACTTGATCTTAGGCTTGTGTGCGGCTGCTCGGTGAGTGTTGCAACCGAGGACAGACGATTTTTACGCACTACGCGCTTCAGCACTCGGCGGTCCCGTTCTGTGAGCTTGTGTGGCCTACCACTTTGCGGCTGAGCCGTTGTTGCTCCTAGACGTTTCCACTTCACAATAACAGCACTTACAGTTGACCGGGGCAGCACTAGCAGGGCAGAAATTTGACGAACTGACTTGTTGGAAAGGTGGCATCCTACTATGTTGCCACGTTGAAAGTCACTGAGCTCTTCAGTAAGGCCATTCTACTGCCAATTTTTGTCTATGGAGATTGCATGGATGTGTGCTCGATTTTATATACCTGTCAGTAATGAGTGTGGCTGAAATAGCAGAATCCACTAATTTGAAGGGGTGTCCACATATTTTTTGTATATATAGTGTATGTACATATAGGTAGGTATAAAGTGACCAGGCAACAGGAAAGATAATAAACAGTACCAGCAGTGTATGTGATGAATCAAAAGAGTTGGTGCAAAAAGGGTCAATGCAGATAGTTAAATGGTTAACTAATTGCTACCCAGACTAACTATTTAGCATTCTTATGGCTTGGGGGTAGAATCTGTTCAGGGTCCTGTTGGTTCCAAACTTGATGTATCAGTACCGCTTGCCGTGCGGTAGCCGAGAGAACAGTCTATGACTTGGGTGGCTGGAGTCTGACAATTTTTTGGGCCTTCCTCTGACACCGCCTGGTATAGAGGTCCTGGATGGCAGGGAGCTTGGCCCCAGTAATGCCAAGCAGTTGCCATACCAAGCAGTGATGCAGCCAGTCAAGATGCTCTCAATGGTGCAGCTGTATAACTTTTTGAGGATCTGAGGGCCCGTGCCAAATCTTTTCAGCCTCCTGAGGGGGAAGAGGCATTGTAGTACCCTCTTCACGACTGTGTTGGTGTGTGTGGACCATGATAGATACTTAGTGATGTGGGCACCGGGGAACTTGAAGCTCTTGACCCGCTCCACTACAGCCCTGTCAATGAACAGCATTCTCAAGTAGGTGTTCCCCTTGTCCAGGTGGGAGAGGGCAGTGTGGAGTGCAACAGAGATTGCCTCATCTGTGTATCTGTTGGGGCGGTATGCGAATTGGAGTGGGTCCAGTGTTTCTGGGATGATGGTGTTGATGTGAGCCATGACCAGCCATGATCTCAGGTGTGTGTGTGTGTTACCTGTGGACCAGCCTGTCCAGCTGTGTAACTCTGTTCCTGTTAGAGGGGTGTGTGGAGAGCCACTCAGGGACGGTCGGTTCTCATCTCAGCTGGTCACTGATCTCCATCTACTGCCGAAACACTGGCCCTGCCCGAACATCAGCACACGCCTGGAGGGAAAGGCACAGATAGGGTTACACACCCACACACGCACGCACATATATGGGCACGCACACACACAGGTGTACCCTGAGTGCCTGTCTGGTTGTCATAGAAATGGTGACTATACATTACTACAGGCAGAAGGTTAGAGGAGAGAGAGAAAATGTCTATTGACAACATCGCCATCTAGTGCACTGTAGGCAGTTGACCGGTTAGTCACGATATACAGCAGAGTCAGAATGCAAGAGTGAGGTTGAGTTACTGTCCTATCCTGTACCTTGGCAGCCAGCTGGAGTCCAACTTGATCAGCTTCTGCCTCCAACATCCTGCTGTAGGGACGATCAAACATGAACTGACAGACAGACAGACAGACAGACAGACAGACAGACAGACAGACAGACAGACAGACAGACAGACAGACAGACAGACAGACAGACAGACAGACAGACAGACAGACAGACAGACAGACAGACAGACAGACAGAGAGAGAGAGAGAGAGATAGGGAGAGAGAGAGACAGGGAGAGAGATAAAGACAGAGAGAGAGAGATAAAGACAGAGAGAATAGTTAAACATCTCTTTCACCACATGAAATGTCCTGATATGTGTGTGTGTGTGTGTTACCTGTATGAGGTTGGTCTGTATCCACTGTCCCAGTACGGCCAGACTGTCTAGTGGACACACTGCCCAGATGGCTGTTAGCAGGATCAGAGATAGGAAGTCTACCAGATGAGACATGCTGGCCTACTCTGCCTGGAGGAGGGAGGGGAGGGGGGAGGGAGGGAGGGCGGAGAGAGGGAGGGAGGGGAGGGGAGGGGGGAGAGAGAGATGGAGGGAGGGGAGGGAGGGGAGGGAGGGGAGGAGGGAGGGGAGGAGAGGGGGGAGAGAGGGGGGAGGGAGGGAGGGGGGAGAGAGAGAGGGAGGGAGGGGAGGGGAGGGGGAATAGAGAGAAGGGGGAGAGAGAGAGGGAGGGAGGGGAGGGGGAATAGAGAGAGAGGGAGGGGAGAAAGAGAGAGCAGAAAGGCAATAAGTAAACTATTCTCTGTAAATGTATTGATTGTTCCCACCTATTTCATCTGAACTTTTTAATTCAGACCTAATATGGAGATTACACTTGGAACAGTGAATCTAATAGAAGACACCCAGGGCGAGGTTGGAACTGATTAATCCATATACATTTTCTTCATCTAATTAAACTCTCCTCTGTATTGGAGGGTATGAAGTTCTCAGAGGAAATTATCAGAAACTAACTCAAAATATTTCTCTCAGAGCAAGAAGAATATCAGATTAGAACAGTCAGTGATTCTGATTTAAATGAAAAGGGTTGAGACTAGAGTCTCTCTGCTACTTAAATAGCTGTACCATCGGTCCAGAAACAACAACAGTGTCTCAGACTTCTAAAGTACTGTCTGTCTGTCTGTCTGTCTGCCAGCTTCTTAAAACTATGGCTGATGACGCAACCCCACTGCAATTAATGACATCCTCTCTGTAGACCTGCAGCAGATCTGAGCTCTGAGCTTTAGGTCAGGTGATGTGGATGAAAGTGTGGAGAGGAGAGCAGTACTAGTGTAGCATTACTGAGACTGATAAGTCACCCTGCACAGAACAGGACATAACTCTGTGTAGCCCCCAAGCATACACATACACACACATACTGATGAAGGTGGAGAAATAACTGAAAAATAAGAGATAAGAGGAGAGACTCAGAACTCACACACTCATACTAGAGAGAGACAAACAGAAAGGCCTGGGTGTATGCTCACAGTGTCCCGTCACTGCGTGGGCCATCTCATGTCCCAGGATGAATGTGAGCTGATGAACATCTGCTACGACCTCTAACATCCCAGTGAACATAAACACCTTACCATTCTAGAGTAGAGAGAGACAGGTATCATACAAACAACTGTTAACTTTTGCTGTAGCTGAAGTGATCCACCTTTATCTTACTGGTTTGAATGGATCTGTACTGGGAATAAAACAAACACATCAGTCACACACAGGGACTGGGACTCACAGGCAGTACGAAGGCGTTGACGATAGGGCTGTCGACCACGTGGACTCTCCATTGAACAGGAGACCTCTGGGATGTCTTTGTTCCTCTGGGCCAGGTGACGCACCACTCTCTCAACCACCTGGTGACGAGGGTCCTTCTCTGGAACCAACAACTCAGCAAACTCCTCCATGTACTGGGGAGACAAACAAGGCTTGGTTCAGTCCTAATCGGATAATAAATAGGTTTATCTGAATGGTTGAAAATAATGATCTTCCTTATTAGATTGAATAGAGAACAATAGTAATGGCTTCTTTTTGTAGGCACTAACATGTCTTGTTAGACAAAGCCTATGGGGAAATGTATGGGTTTTTTGGATAAATGCCGCAAATGAGGTCTGTGGTAAACACAGGCTTAGGAGATCTTATACATTTTGTTCTATGAGGTAATCTTCATCAGCTAACGTCACTTTTGTGAATTTTGAAGCATTTATGTAATCAAAACAAGCACATAAAGGCTCAATAATGAATACAGGTAATGTTAACTGACTGATATTATCTCATAGTACAAAACGTATAAGATCTCCAAAACCTGTGTTAGCGTCAGACCTTATTTTCGGCATTTATCCCAAAACCCCATTCTTGCCCTCCATAGGAATGGCTGAACGAACCAGAGGTTATTCATTTCCTGTTTTTAAGACTACAAGCTGGCGAGCTCTATATGGCCCACACAGGGTTAACAGCATCTCTCTCTCTCCACCCCCCCCTCTCTCTCACCCATCTCCCCACTCTGTCTCACCCAGTCTGATCACTGCAGCCAGCTCCATGTAGTTCTCTCTACTGATCACTAGGAGGCATGTGCGTCCCGTGACGGGCGATTCGTCCAGGTTTAGTGAGGAATAAGTGCCATGATCACCATAGCAACCATACCCCCCAGCGCCAGGCATCCTGACGCAGAAGTGGCTGCTTATTGGGCAGGAGGGCCAGCCACCACTTCCTGATACTCCTAGAGGAACACCAAAAACACCATGTAGTACTACTAGAGACTGGGACACCAAAAACACCATGTAGCAGCAACATCTGATTCATCTCACCATCATAAACCTTATCAATGTAGATGGACGGGCTGAGACCGCACTCAGATCTGTGTGTGTCTTACCTGCGCAGTATGGTAGTCACTATCTTCTGCAGGGGTTTGAGTACCAGACATATTAAAGGAGAAGGCAGGGCGCGGTAAGGAACAGAGGTATGGAACAGGTTCTGTCCACACTGAGACAGCCATATAACAGAGACACAGTTGACAAGAGGGCCAAGTCTGGGGGTCCCCACTGGGAGAAGTCCTGTTCATTCTCAGACAAGAAAAGTAGTCTCTGAGACAAAGATAGTCTCAATTGAAATTGACAAACTGAGTCTGTGGTTTCGCGCTGCAGTAGATTCCAACGTGTTGGTTGAGTAGTAGAGTTATGTAGTTCTATTTATAGCTAATAATATTAACAGAGATTCAATGTCATTGCAGTTTCCCCAACTCAAGCGCAGCAGCGCTAACGTTAGCAAGTTAGCTAGCTTGTCTTGAAGCAAAATGCACCGATAAGAATGGCATGCATAAACGACACTTTACCTTTGTATGATCGATCCTCTGAGGGCTAATAATATATGCATGCCAGTCTCTATTGGCTAAGAGTTTAGGAAAGACTGACTGCATCATTTCTTGTTTTTATAAGAAACAGAAATTCCAAATGGTTTGCATAGTCAACTTACACACATACTTACCCCACCAGACATTCCACCAGGGGTATTTTCAGTCCCCAGATCCAGAACAAATTCAAGAAAACGTACAGTATTATACAGAGCCATGAGTGCATGGAATTTCCTTCCATCCTATATAGCGCAAGTGAACAGCAAACCTAGTTTCAAAAAAACAAATACATTAACACCTCACAACGCCTCTCCCCCATGTGACCTACTTGTTGTGTGTATGTATTGACATGTATGTGTAACTGATAGATGCACACACATATTCCATGTTAATGTTTTAAAATGTATGTAAATTGTAAAGTATTTTGTTTGTAATGTCTTTTCGTTATACTTCGGACCCCTGTAAGACTAGCTGTCGCCATTGGCATCGGCTAATAGGGATCCTAATAAATCAAATCAAACCCCTTGGCTCCATCTTGTCAAAGAAATACTGATTTATGCATTTTCCATTTACTTTGACAGTCCTCTGCAAGTCAAAATTTGCATGGCAAAGGAGGAACCAGAGTTTATAAACCATACTGTAGTGTACTCTCTTTGGAGGAACAGTCGTGTTGTGAGTACAAATCCCGCTGCAACTTCATGCGCAAGAACAACGTTCCGACAATGACCGTCTCGTCAAATATAACATTCTGCAGACTGTGTATATTAATAATGTTTGATAAATTCATAGTGTTAATAAACTGAAATTACATGCATTACAAAATATACACATTTTATTATCGACAGTGATACAGGTTCTATACAGGAACTATTATTGTCTGTTTTTCTTAAGGTAACTTCACCATAAAGCATTTGAACATCAAATGTGCAAACCTAAACATTGAAATGTTAGACTTTCATTTCTTTTTTCCACAAAGGTGTGGAATGGTGTAACTTCCTATACATATGGTATGAAAAGTAACATGTAAAAACTTGGTCCATTACTTGTTCTAGCAATGTTTTTTTTCTCATTAAATACAGTATAAAGCCTTCTAAAACAGTAGCCAGACTTGATTTAGCTTGCCTTGTGCAACAGGTAGGCAGAGTTTTCCCTTTTCGAAACAAACTCCACATAGTGCACCAGTCGAGCTAAATCAAGTACGCCTACTAACAAACCTAAAAAAATGGATTTAAAAAAGGGGCAATCTGGAGCCACATCCATTTTTGGAATGATAAATTATTTATATGTACCCATTGATTCTTGAACTGTCGTACCCCATCAGAACCCAAAATATACACTTCTTTTACTACAATGTTTGTAAACAAAGTGCAAACAAACACTATATAGCCTCAAAACATGGTTGAAACGATCATTTTTATATCATGGATGGTCAGTTCTTGCATCCATAGCTCTGTCTATGAATTTAGGAGTGGTTACATCTCCAGCCCCATCCCCCAGCTTTTTACCGAAACAGGGGCAGGGAAAACGCTTTGTTATTGTTTCAACAGCTGATTGCAGCTTTACGAACTGGATAAATAGAGAAATCTATTAGATTCAGAATAGATAATCATGACCAGTCAACAACACAGAACCAAACTGTATTGGATGTAAATTCTCTTGATTAGGTGTGTGTGAGTTAGTATTTTCTATATTAGGCGTTTCTATATTATCAATTGGCGAGATCGATTCATTCTCCCAGTTTTCCTGTGTTCCTGTGTCGTCTGTTCCTCGGACGTTGATTGGCTGAGCGAAGGGGAAGGCATGAGTGTTGATTGGCTCTGAGGAGTCAGAGGTTTCACCCTCATCCTGGTCTCTGGGTTTCTCGGTAACAAAGTGTGACAGGAAGAGAGTGTGGATCTGGGAGAGGAAGGGGTCTCCCTCCTCCTCTAGCAGGGGCTCCAGATACCTCCCTAAAGATGACATCATCTAGAAAGAGAGAGACGGAGGTTGGGACAGGGAGGAGAGAGAGAGCAAGACAGGGATTGGAAAGGAATAGGATACAAGGTTGAGAGATGGAAGTGAGGCAGGGATGAAAGAGAAAGATGAAAAAGGACTCCGACAGCAAGCAGAGAGAAGGAGGGCTGAGACAGCAATATGAGACAGGGTAAGATAGAGTGACTAGAGACAAGGTGACCTACCTTCTCCAGACAGGTGAGATGAGAGTCCCTGCGGAACAGCCTGTCCATCTGGACACTGCCATGGGCGTGTTTATATTTGTGGACGATCCACTCCGCCCTCCTCATCAGCTGGCTCCAGTCAGGCTGCTGCTGGGAACACTGGTAGTCAAACCTGTAGGGCAGCTCTGAGAGACGGAGGGAGGGAGGGAAGGAGAGAGGTAGAGGGAGGGAGAGAGGATGAATACGCACGCTCAGACTATATCTATTGTTTTACCAAGTTGATTAGAGGTTGTGAAAGGGATCATGTTTAGAGGTGTATGTGTGTCATACTCTGTGGTCCAGGTCCTTGGTCCTCTCTGACCATCAGGCAGGTGGTCTGGGAGCGGGGGGAGGGGTTAGCAGGGTCAAACGGACTCACAATCATCCCAATAAAGGGGGCTCCGCCTCGAGAGAAATAACTCTGAGAGAAAGAGAGAGTCAGAACACAGTGTCTCTCACACACACACACACACACACACACACACCTGTACGTACCTGGAACTGGTCCTGTGTGTGTATATCCCGTAGAGAGGGGTTAGGGTGGAAGGTGGGGTGAGAGTGGTACCATCCCACTACAGCCAAGCCCAGGCTAGACAGCAGCTCACAGGCCTGAGTCTGAGACAAAGGGTCCATCTCACACTGCAGACCTGTACTCACACTGTTACACGGCTCCGCTGCAACAATCTAGCACATAGAGACACACACCAATACAGTGCATTCGGAAAGTATTCAGACCCTTTGACTTTTTCCACATTTTGTTATGTTACAGCCTTATTCTAAAGTGGTTTAAATTGTATTTTTCCCCCCTTATCAATTTACACACAATACCCCATGATGACAAAGCAAAAACAGGTTTTTAGAAATGTTCGCAAATTTATTAAAAAATAAAAAACGAAAATATTACATTTACATAAGTATTCAGACCCTTTACTCAGTATTTGTTGAAGCACCTTTCGCAGCGATTACAGCCTTGAGTCTTCTTGGGTATGACGCTACAAGCTTGGCACACCTGTATTTAGGGAGTTCCTCCCATTCTTCTCTGCAGATCCTCTCAAGCTCTGTCAGGATGGATTGGGAGCGTCACTGCACAACTATTTTCAGGTCTCTCCAGAGATGTTCGATCGGCTTCAAGTCCTGGCTCAGGCTGGGCCACTCAAGGACATTCAGAGACTGTTGTCTTGGCTGTGTGCTTAGGGTCATTGCCCTGTTGGAAGGTGAACCTTCACCCCAGTCTGAGGTCCTGAGCGCTCGGGAGCAGGTTTTCATCAAGGATCTCTCTGTACTTTGCTCCGTTAATCTTTCCCTCGATCCTGACTAGTCCCCCAGTCCCTGCCGCTGAAAAACATCCCCACAGCATGATGCTGTCACCACCATGCTTCACAGTAGGGACGGTGCCAGGTTTCCTCCAGACGTGACGCTTGGCATTCAGGCCAAAGAGAGTCCTTTAGGTGCAATTTGGCAAACTCCAAGCGGGCTGTCGTGCATTTTACTGAGGAATGGCTTCCTTCTGGCCACTCTACCATAAAGGCCTGATTGGTGGAGTGCTGCAGAGATGGTTGTCCTTCTGGAAAGTTCTCCCATCTCCACAGAGGAACTCTGTCAGAGTGACCATCGGGTTCTTGGTCACCTCCCTAACCAAGGCCCTTCTCCCCCGATTGCGCAGTTTGGCCGTGCGGCCAGCTCTAGGAAGAGTCTTGGTGGTTCCAAACTTCTTCCATTTAAGAATGATGGAGGCCACTGTGTTCTTGGGGACCTTCAATGCTGCAGAAATGTTTTTGTACCCTTCCCCAGCTCTGTGCCTCGACACAATCCTGTCTCGGAGCTCTACGGACAATTCCTTCGACCTCATGGCTTAGTTTTTGCTCTGACATGCACTGTCAACTGTGGGACCTTATATAGACAGATGTGTGCCTTTCCAAATGATGTCCAATCAATTGAATTTACGACAGGTGGACTCCAATCAAGTTGTAGAAACATCTCAAGGATGATCAATGGAAACAGGATGCACCTGAGCTAAATTTCGAGTCTCATAGCAAAGGGTCTGAATATTTAATTTGCAAACAAAACCTGTTTTCGCTTTTTCATTATGCTGCATTGTGTGTAGATTGATGAGGATTATTATTTTTTAAATCCATTTCAGAATAAGGCTGTAACGTAAGAAAATGTGGAAAAAGTCAAGGGGTCCGAATACGTTCCGAATGCACTGTAGATACAGAGACACACACACAGGATAGACTAGTTTTCAGCATTTTCTTTGTCAACATCATCATGAAGTGGTAGTTTCACCTTCAGGACCTTGTCCACCTCGCTGTAGGCTCCTCCCAGGAGCCCGATGACCTCACCCATCGACACATGGGCATGCTGGGTAAAAATACAAACACAAAGACACTGAGCCCTAAGACTTTGGTAAACAACGCACACTGATATCTCTGTCTGTGTGTTCATGTGTGAACATGGTTGCTTTGTTAAATACATGTGTAGATGTGTGTACCTACCATGTCCATGATGAGGAGAGCCTCGGCACATACTATCACCTGGAAGGGCTCCTGTCTTTCCTTTCCAAACTCACGACACGGAATCAGCTGGAACGGATCCAGCAACCTGACAATGGAGAGAGAGAGAGACATTTATTGCATGTAAGGTACAGTACACATTTATAAGGATCCACAGTGTTTCGTGACAACACACACAGGCATCATTGGTAGTATATACCAACCACTCACCCTCTGTGCCTGGAGACCTTACAGGGTTTATGCGGTCTCCTCATCTCTCTCCTCAGGGCTAGCTCCTCTGCACTCAGGTGCTCATATGTCTGTCCCTCCAGGTCTTTAGCGTCACGCCAGTTCCCCCACACATCCCTCACACGACGCTTCCTGGTTCGCTACAATACACAACCAATCAACATGTCATACAGCTAGCTATAACGGGTCACAGACACCTAATTTTATGCACACTTCGACAATAACACCGAACCGTGCGCGAGGGCCCCCATCGACCCAGAGGACTGGGTGATCTCGCTCTCCGAGGGCGACGTGAGTAAGGTCTTTAAATCAGATCAACACTCACAAGGCTTCATGCCACAATGACTACCACCCTGTAGCACTCACATCTGTAATCATGAAGTGCTTTGAAAGGCTAGTTATGCCCTCATCCACATCAACGGGGCTGCAGTGGAGCAGGTCAAGAGCTTCAAGTTCCTGGGTCACTAAGGACTTAAAATTATCCACTCACACGCGCAGAGTCGTGAAGAAGGAGCGACAGTGCCTCTTCCCCCTCAGGATGTTGAAAAGGTTTGGCATGAGCCCTCAAAAAGTTGTACAGCTGCACCATTGAGAGCTTCTTAACTGGCTGCATCACTGTTTGGTATGGCAACAGCACCGCCCTCGAACGCAAGGAGCTACAGAGGGTGATGCGGACAGCCCAGTACATCACTGGGGCGAGCTCCCTGCCATCTAGGACCTCTATATCAGGTGGTGTGAAAAGAAGGCCCAGAACATTTTTTAAAGATTCCAGCCACCCAAGCCATAGACTGCTCTCTCTGCTTCCTCAAGGCAAGCAGTACCGGTGCATCAAGTCTGACACCAACAGGCTCCTGAACAGCTTATATCCTCAAGCCATAAGACTGCTAAATAAAAAAATATGCCATTTAGCAGACGCTTTTATCCAAAGCGACTTACAGTCATGCATGCATACATTTTTTTTGTGTATGGGTGGTGCCGGGGATCGAACCCAATACCGTGCTCTACCAGCTGAGCTACAGAGGACCACAGAATTTGCTAAAGAAATAGCTAACAGAATGGCTACATGGACTATCTGAGTTGACTCTTGTATCTTATTTGTATTTTGTACTGTCTCTATGCACACTCACAGGACTCTACACACTCACACACACTGACACTCCAACACACACATAACATGCACACACATTTCTACTCACTCTACACAAACACACACACTCACAATCATAATTTACGCTGCTGCTCTGTTTATCAGATATCCTGATGCCTAGTCACCTTACCCCTATACATACACTACATGACCAAAAGTATGTGGACACCTGCTCGTCGAACATCTCATTCCAAAATCATGGGCATTAATATGGAGTTGGTCCCCCCTTTCCTGCTATAACAGCCTCCAGTCTTCTGGGAAGGCTTTTCACTAGATGTTGGAACATTGCTTCCATTCAGCCGCAAGAGCATTAGTGAGGTCGGGCACTGATGTAGGCCTGGCTCACAGTCGGCGTTCCAATTCATCCCAAAGGTGTTCGATGGGGTTGAGGTCAGGGCTCTGTGCAGGCCAGTCAAGTTCTTCCACACCGATCTTGACAAACCATTTGTGTATGGACCTCGCTTTGTGCGCGGGGGCATTGTCATGCTGAAACAGGAAAGGACCTTCCCCAAAGTGTTGCCACAAAGATGGAAGCACAGAATCGTCTAGAATGTCATTCTATGCTGTAGCCCGAACCATTAAAAACAGCCCCGGACCATTATTCCTCCTCCACCAAACTTTAAAGTTGCACTATGCATTGGGGCAGGTAGCGTTCTACGGGCATCCGCCAAACCCATATTCGGTCCGTCGGACTACCAGATGGTGAAGCGTGATTCATCACTCCAGAGAACGTGTTTCCACTGCTCCAGAGTCCAATGGTGGCGAACTTTACACCACTCCAGCCGACGCTTGGCATTGCGCATGGTGATCTTAGGCTTGTGTGCGGGCTGCTCGATCATGGAAACCCACTTCATGAAGCTCCCGACGAACAGTTATTGTGCTGACGTTGCTTCCAGAGGCAGTTTGGAACTCGGTAGTGAGTGTTGCAATCGAGGACAGATTATTTTCACGTGCTGCGCGCTTCAGTACTCACCAGTTCTGTAATGTGAGCTTGTGTGGCCTACCACTTTGCGGCTGAGCAGTTGTTGATCCTATACGTTTCCACTTACCAATAACAGCACTTACAGTTGACCAGGGAAGCTCTAGCATGCCAGACATTTTACGAACTGACTTGTTGGAAAGGTGGCATCTTATGACGGTGCCACGTTGAAAGTCACTGAGCTCTTCAGTAAGGCCATTCTACTGTCAATGTTTGTCTATGGAGATTGCATGGCTGTGTGCTCGATTTTATACACCTGTCAGCAACGGGTGTGGCTGAAATAGCCGAATCCACTAATTTAAAGGGGTGTCCATATACTTTTGTATATATAGTGTATCTACCTCTATCACTCCAGTATCCCTGCACACTGTAACATGGTATTGGAACTGACCCTGTATATAGCTTCTCACTTTCTCGTGTTCTTCTTATTTCCATTTTTCGTATGTTATTTTTAGTGCTATATTGATTACTGCATTGCTGGGTTTGAGCATGCAAGAAAGAAAGGCATTTCACTGTACTTGTGCAGTGACAAACTTTCTACATACACCTGGTGAAGAGCTATGATAAACCTTATATAGAACTGTAATAGAAGTATTATAGTACTGTAATAGACATGTATAGGCACCTTTAAAGATAAAATACTTATTTTGTGAAACTGCTCGTCCGTTTGAGATATTACAACAACAAAGAAGTTACTGCAAACAACGAACACGTTTTTTTCCCCACTTACATCATTGCACATGGAATAGAACCAGATCCCCAGGGTCCGGTCTGGAGCGTGAAGTCACGAGCTCTGCTGTTTGGCCACTGCGTAGCTACCTAGCGGTGCCAAAAGCCCTGGTCTGCCCTAGAAAGCCTACGTAAATTACGATCGCCAGAACGGCGAAAATCAAAAAATGTTGGGCTCTAAAATGTGTTTATTATGATCAAGTTCGAGCCCCACTGTGAATTATTTTAAAGTTTGCTACAAATCGAGACATTTAATTAAATAGTGATCCATTCTGACTACTACATTTGTCGTCACACAGGACCACGTGCTGACACAGACCAATCATGGGCCGGCAGCGTAGAGTTGACTCTCTGGCAGGATGAAAACGCCTAAATGACCATAATCCTTTGCTAGTTACGGCCACTTTCACCATGATCCTTAGTGACTTGTTGTTGCCATTCAGCCCCATTCAGTAATATGGCACGCGCGTTTTCCACAGGAATACATGGATGACGTCCGCGCTATCACTATCTACTGGTTTTAATGTCTATGGATAGAACAGCACAATATGTACTGCAAGTATTTTTCCCATGCTGCCGGACGCTCCTCTCCTCCATTTCATCAACAAAACAACAACAAATGCTCTGAGCAAACAGTGGCGCTGTTTCCCCAAATGCAGATTAAATCTTTAATAAACCAAATATAAATGACAAACCTACGTCTGACAAATACCTGACATAGATAGGTGTTCTCACACCATGCTCTATCATCTGGACCAGCTAGAGGGTTCTGGGGTACAGTAGGGGGTCAGAGGTTACAGAGGTTGACTCACCATGCTCTGTAGTCTTTGGGCCAGCTGGTATTCCAGAGTGTCTCTGCTCTCTCTGGGTTTAGAACGATCCACCACCCTGGGACGGTTATACACTGCCTGATCTGGAGGGGAAGAGTGGAGAGAACAGACAGGGTAGATCAGACAAATCAGAAAAATGAGCATAACCAAGAAAGATCGAGACTGAGAAAAAGAGAGAGAAAATCAGACTAGTAGTGAGTCCTAGTTACCACAGTTGAAGTTGATGCCCCCTATCAGCTCCAGGTAGGTGTGTATTCTGCCGATACAGTTGACATCTCCACAGTTCTTCAGACCAGGACGCACTGACGTCTTGTTCAAGTACCTGGGCTTACTCTTCAACCTGAGACAAACATACACAAAAAGCATGTTGAAAGTGAAACCTTGATGTCTCTGATTGGTTGTGGTTGTGTGTATTTTGTATTTGTATTTATTATAGATCCCCATTAGCTGCTGCCATGGCAGCAGCTACTCTTCCTGGGGTCCAGTGTGTGTATGCGTTTACCATTGGTCCAGCATGTAGTTCCTGATCCTCAGGTATCTCTCTGGGGTTTTGGATGGCCGTCCCTCAAAGAATTCTGGGATAGCTTGTTTCTCCTCCTCTGTGATGGTTGCCAGGTCCAGCTCCACTTCCTGCTCGGGGGCTGTAAGCTCCTCCTCTTCCTCTTCAGACTCCTCCCCTTGTTCCTCCCCTGCTTCTTGCCACCCAGACCCCCCTGTCTCCTCTCCAGACTCCCTCAGGGGCTCAGCAGTTCCCCCCTCACACTGTCCACTGGGGGCCTGCTCTGCTGGGCAGGGGGCTGTGAGGGGAGATGGAGGGCTACAGTTAGGTTGCTCCTGATCAGTCTCTCCCAGCCTGGGGTGTGTCTGGTTGGGTTGCACCTGGTGGGTCTCTCCATGGTTGTCCAGCTCCTCTGGCGCTCCAGGCTCACGTGTCTCAGTCCTAACTCCTGCCTGGAGGTCCTCGCCAATCCCCTCAATCCTTCTTTCTCCTCCATTTCCTTCTCCACTCCCACCCTCATCGCTGAAGTCGTCAGTGATGTCCACCTCCTCCTCCTCTTCGTCCCCCAGTCTCTCTATCCGGACAGCGTTAGTCAGAGCTGACAGGTGGGTGGGGACAGACAGGCCAGAGGTGGACACTGTTGACCCCGTCTCTGTGACCTGGCCTAAAACCACCGGGGCTGTAGGGGTCGCCACTGCAATAGCATTGCCCTCTGATTTAGCCTGTAGGCAGAGAGGACAGGGAGAGTGATATGGTGAGAGAGGACAGAGACCGTAGGATCTCTCAAATATATCCTGGTTGGCTGAGCTCGAAGAGATGTCGTCTAGAGGACAGTGTTACCTTGTGTTTGAAGTACTGTCTGGCGTAGCTCTTCACCTGTAGAACGGTCCGACTGCCTACCAGCTTGGAGATCTTAGTCCACCTACGGCCAAACTGCGCCTGGGGGTATAAAAAGTAGGGTGTCATCTGAGATTAGAGAGGAGAGGAGAGGAGAGGAGAGGAGAGGAGAGGAGAGGAGAGGAGAGGAGAGGAGAGGAGAGGAGAGGAAAAGAGAGGGTCATACCAGTCCTGTCTCAAACAGCTCCTTCTCCTGCTGAGACCAGCGAGTGGCTGTAGAGGAGCCTGAACCTGAAGGCTTGGCAGGAGACCTTGGTGAAAACACAGCAGTAACAGTATTATGTCAGAGGCAACAACACATCAGAGGGGTGGGAAGTGAACATTTTCACAAGAGGTTTAGATCAACACAAGGACAAATGGGACGACTGACTCACTTCTTCACTTTGGGTTTAGGCTTGCAGTTAGGTGAGTTGGCCCACACACTCTTGGGCAGCTCTTTACCTGTCAAATAATACCTAGAGAAGTGCTTAAGGACTAGAACAATCTTATATCAAGAAAGACAGACAAACAAACACATCAAAATCTATCCCAGGGGTGTGTGTACGGTCTTTGAGAAGGATACTGTTCTTCCAGCAGCATGTTCTCGATCACCTCTCTGTTCTCTGCACTGATAGAGCTGTCTAGTTCCCACGGCTATAGGGGAAAGAGAGAGTCAACACACACATGAAGACCAACACACAGTACCCACCTAACTTCCATCGTGCCATATTGATTTGGTAGCAACACTTCTTACCAAGACCCCAGTATTGGTCTTCCATGCTGACTGCAGGTACTGGTCCTGGAGTAGCGCTGCTCCGTCACCAAAGCCCCTGACATAGAAGTGATATAGCTATTATGCATCTCTCACTCCAGCAGGAATGTGATAATGCTGTACACACCTTTTCTATTCAGATACTGTCCATACACACCATTATATACAGTCATGTGAAAAAGTAAGTACACCCCCTGGAAAGTGGTCTTTTTTTTAAACCTATTTGGACACATGGATATTTGAGCTAAATTCCCACCACATTCATTAATAAAGATAACCCAATTTAACAAATAAAAAAATTAAAATATAATGCAAATGTTATGCAATTAAATTAAACAAAAATGACTCTTCCTTATGCAGAAAAAGTTAGTACACCCCTACCTTTACCATCACATAAAATGGCTAAAATTAGAATCAGGTGCATCAAAACAGGTGCAAATGATTAGAAAATCCTTAGAGAAAACCTTAGGAGGCTCCAGCCTTCCATAAAGATTAGAAACTTGGTCTGGTTTGGTCTTAACCATATGGGTGTGTGGTAACACATCATGCCAAGATCAAAATACCTACCCGAGGCCCTCAGAAGAAAGATTATTGATGCCCATGAGTCTGGGAGGGGTTACAAATCAATTTCCAAGTAATCCGAAGTACATCATTCCACTGTCCAACGGCTCATCTACAAATGGAGATAATTCCAGACCACTGGCAATCTACCTCGGACAGGTCGTCCCACCAAATTCAGCCCAAGAGCTGACTGAAAGATGCTCATAGAAGTCTCTAAGAACCCCAGAGTAACATCAAGGGATCTACAGGCCTCTCTTGCCACAATCAATGTCGAAGTGCATGAGTCAACTGTCAGAAAGAGACTGCACAAACTTGGCCTACATGGGAGGTCAGGAAGGAAGAAGCCTCTGCTTTCAAAAAAGAATATCAAGACACAACTGACGTTTGCCAGACAACACCTGGGTAGAGACCAAAACTACTGGAACAATGTGCTCTGGACAGATGAGTCAAAGGTGGAGTTGTTTGGCCTCAATGCCAGACACCATGTTTGGCGAAAACGAAACACTGCCTTTGAACAGAAGAACCTCATACCAACCGTAAAGCATGGAGGCGGTGGCATTATGGTTTGGGGCTGCTTTGCTGCCTCAGGGCCTGGCCAACTTGCCATCATTGAGTCAACCATGAATTATATATTGTACCATAGAAATCTTGAGGAGAATGTGAGGCCATCTGTCAAAAAGCTGAAGCTGAACCGAACATGGATCTTGCAACAGGACAATGATCCAAAACACAAAAGCAAAGCTACAACAGAATGGCTCAAAAATAAGAAATGGAGGGTTATGGAATGGCAGAGTCAAAGCCCAGATCTCAATCCTATCGAAATGCTGTGGGGGGACTTGAAGCGGGCCGTGCATGCAAGAAAGCCCTCGAACATGACACAGTTGAAGCAGTACTGTAAAGAAGAGTGGGCAAAAATTCCTCCCAGTCGATGTAAGAGACTGATATACAGTTACAAGAAACGTCTACATTAAGTTCTTTCAGCCAAAGGGGGCAACACAAGCTATTGAAGCTAGGGGTGTACTTATTTTTTCCGCACTATGGAATTGTATTTCTGTTGATTTATGATGAATAAATGATTGCAAAGTATAATCGTTCAGTGTCATTTGTTAAATCAGGTTACCTTTATCTGTCAATAGTGTTGAAGTGAAGATTACATATTCAGCTGTCCAAATATGTATATAAAAAAAGAAAAAGACAACTTTCCAGAGGGTGTACTTACTTCTTCACATGACTGTATATATATAAACTACCAGTCAAAAGTTTGGACACACCTACTCATTCAAGGGTTTTTCTTTATTTGTAAAAATTTTACATTGTAGAATAATAGTGAAGATATCAAAACTATGAAATAACACATACGGAATCATGTAGTAACCAAAAAAGTGTTAAACAAATCAAAATATATTTTATATTTGATATTCTTCAAATAGCCACCCTTTGCCTTGATGACAACTTTGCACAATCTTGGCATTCTCTCAACCAGCTTCATGATGTAGTCACCTGGAATGCATTTCAATTAACAGGTGTGCCTTCTTAAAAGTTAATTTGTGGAATTTCTTTCCTTCTTAATGCGTTTGAGCCAATCAGTTGTATTGTGACAAGGTAGGGTTGGTATACAGAAGATAGCCCTATTTGGTAAAATACCAAGTCCATTCTATGGCAAGAACAGCTCAAATAAGTAAAGGGAAACGACAGACCATCATTACTTTAAGACATGAAGGTCAGTCAATACGGAAAGTTTCAAGAACTTTGAAAGTTCCTTCAAGTGCAGTCGCAAAAACCATCAAGCGCTACGATGAAACTGGCTCTCATGAGGACCGCCACAGGAATGGAAGACCCAGAGTTACCTCTGCTGCAGAGCATAGGTTCATTAGAGCTACCAGCCTCAGAAATTGCAGCCCAAATAAATGCTTCACAGAGTTCAAGTAACAGACACATCTCAACATCAATTGTTCAGAGGAGACTGTGTGAATCAGGCCTTCATGGTCAAATTGCTGCAAAGAAACCACTACTAAAGGACACCAATAAGAAGAAGAGACCTGCTTGAGCCAAGAAACACGAGCAATGGACATTAGACCGGTGGAAATGTGTCCTTTGGTCTGGAGTCCAAATTGGAGATTTGTTGTTCAAACCGCCGTGTCTTTGTGAGACGCGGTGTGGGTGAACGGATGATCTCTGCATGTGTAGTTCCCCACTGTAAAGCATGGAGGAGGTGGTGTTATGGTGTAGGGGTGCTTTGCTGGTGACACTGTCTGTGATTTATTTAGAATTCAAGGCACACTTAACCAGCATTGCTACCACAGCATTCTGCAGGGATATGCCATCCCATCTGGTTTGGGCTTAGTGGGACTATCATTTGTTTTTCAACAGGACAATGACCCAAAACACCTCCAGGCTGTGTAAGGGCTATTTTACCAAGAAGGAGAGTGATGGAGTGCTGCATTAGATGACCTGGCCTCCACAATCCCCTGACCTAAACCCAATTGAGATGGTTTGGGATGAGTCGGATGGCAGAGTGAAGGAAAAGCAGACAACAAGTGCTCAGCATATGTGGGGACTCCTTCAAGACTGTTGGTAAAGCAATCCAGGTGAAGCTGGTTGAGAAAATGCCAAGAGTGTGCAAAGCTGTCATCAAGGCAAAGGGTGGCTATTTGAAGAATCTCAAATATAAAATATATTTTGATTTGTTTAACACTTTTTTGGTTACTACATCATTCCATATGTGTCATTTCATAGTTTTGATGTCTTCACTATTATTCTACAATGTAAAAAAAAAAAAGGAAAACCCTTGAATGAGTAGGTGTCCAAACTTTTGACTGGTACGGTATGTATGTATGTATGTATGTATGTATGTATGTATGTATGTATATATATGGACTCTGGCATTGCTCGTTCTGATATTTCTTAATTTATTTCTTACATTTTGGGGGAATTTGTGTGCATTGTTAGGTATTACTGCACTGTTGGATCTAGAAACATAAGCATTTCGCTGCACCTGCGATGACATCCGCAAAATATGTGTATGCGACCAATAAAATGTTATTTGATAACAAGGACGACATTTGTAAGTCGCTCTGGATAAGAGCGTCTGCTAAATGATGTAAATGTAAAATGTAATATATATGTACTGATGTATTGTATGCATGTACAGTGAGGGAAAAAAAGTATTTGATCTCCTGCTGATTTTGTACGTTTGCCCACTGACAAAGACATGATCAGTCTATAATTTTAATGGTAGGTTTATTTGAACAGTGAGAGACAGAATAACAACAAAAAAATCCAGAAAAATGCATGTCAAAAATGTTATAAATTGATTTGCATTTTAATGAGGGAAATAAGTATTTGACCCCTCTGCAAAACATGACTTAGTACTTGGTAGGCAAAACCCTTGTTGGCAATCACAGAGGTCAGACGTTTCTTGTAGTTGGCCACCAGGTTTGCACACATCTCAGGAGGGATTTTGTCCCACTCCTCTTTGCAGATCTTCTCCAAGTCATTAAGGTTTCGAGGCTGACGTTTGGCAACTCGAACCTTCAGCTCCCTCCACAGATTTTCTATGGGATTAAGGTCTGGAGACTGGCTAGGCCACTCCAGGACCTTAATGTGCTTCTTCTTGAGCCACTCCTTTGTTGCCTTGGCCGTGTGTTTTGGGTCATTGTCATGCTGGAATACCCATCCACGACCCATTTTCAATGCCCTGGCTGAGGGAAGGAGGTTCTTACCCAAGATTTGACGGTACACGGCCCCGTCCATCGTCCCTTTGATGCGGTGAAGTTGTCCTGTCCCCTTAGCAGAAAAACACCCCCAAAGCATAATGTTTCCACCTCCATGTTTGATGGTGGGTATGGTGTTCTTACGGTCATAGGCAGCATTCCTCCTCCTTCCAAACACGGCGAGTTGAGTTGATGCCAAAGAGCTCGATTTTGGTCTCATCTGACCACAACACTTTCACCCAGTTCTCCTCTGAATCATTCAGATGTTCATTGGCAAACTTCAGACGGGCCTGTATATGTGCTTTCTTGAGCAGGGGGACCTTGCGGGCGATGCAGGATTCAGTCTTTCACGGCGTAGTGTGTTACCAATTGTTTTCTTGGTGACTATGGTCCCAGCTGCCTTGAGATCATTGACAAGATCCTCCCGTGTAGTTCTGGGCTGATTCCTCACCGTTCTCATGATCATTGCAACTCCACGAGGTGAGATCTTGCATGGAGCCCCAGGCCGAGGGAGATTGACAGGTCTTTTGTGTTTCTTCTATTTGCGAATAATCGAACCAACTGTTGTCACCTTCTCACCAAGCTGCTTGGCGATGGTCTTGTAGCCCATTCCAGCCTTGTGTAAGTCTACAATCTTGTCCCTGACATCATTGGAGAGCTCTTTGGTCTTGGCCATGGTGGAGAGTTTGGAATCTGATTGATTGATTGCTTCTGTGGACAGGTGTCTTTTATACAGGTAACAAGCTAAGATTAGGAGCACTCCCTTTAAGAGTGTGCTCCTAA